AAGGCTGACTGGCTGGCCCAGAGGAGGGGCCCAGGATGCGGGGTAGGGGGGTCTGACGGCTCCCTCACTCCCGCCCCCCTCCCCCACTCCCGCCCCCGTGGATGAGCACCCGCCACGGGCAGTCCGCCCGCGGGATGGCGGAGGGCCGAGCCTTGGTGCTGATGGGCCAAAGACCGATGAGGGTTAGTGCTTGAGGCCTCTCGTGTGTTTCTCTAAACAACATAGGAACGGCCCGGAAGAGGGCTTGGGAGGCCACCGCTCCATATATGAGAGTCCGTCTATGGGGAGTGGAAGGCGAGGGGCACGGAGGTGGGGAGGAAAGGAGAATGAATGAAATAGCAAAGCAAAGCGCAGGACATGCACCCCAGGAGCTCAAGGGAAGGGGAGGGGACAGGGCTGGGAAGCGGGGAGCAGAGCTGGACCCCAGCCCCTGCCAGCTGGACTCGAACCCCTGCTCAGGCTGCCCTGTACCAGCCCCAGACGGAGCGGAGGCAGGCAGGAGGGCAGACCCTCCAGGACCCACACAGCTCCCTGCAGGGTGCACAGCGCCTGGAGGCCGCTCTCCCGGGAGGCGGGCTGGTGCTCTGGGGCGGCTCTGTGGGGGAGGGGAGCACTGGGTAAGCATGTCTCCCGGGGCATTCTGTTGTAGCTTTGCAACAGTTCTGTGACATAAACCGCATTGCCAACCCACTTTGCAGATGAAGAAACTGAGACAAAACCCGGGCCCCAAGCGGGCTCTGCCAGTAAGAGGCTGAGCGGGGTGGGGGCAGGACGCAGAGATGGGGGAGCCCAAGTTCAGGCCAGAGGCGCCCACAGGGGCCTGGCCGCAGGCCATGGGGCTCCTGACTTAGGGAGGGAGGCCTCTCTGCAGGAGTCAGGACGACGGCTTCTCCCAGGGCCTGAGTGTGGGAGGCTGGAGGCAGGGACCCGGCAGACGCAGTGACTGGGCCCCAGGACACAGTGAGTGGGTCAGAGAGGTGGCCCAGGCTGGTGGGAGGAGGGGCACAGGGCGAGTGGGTGCCCCTGGGACTTCCAGGTGAGAGGAAGGTGAGCTGTGGGAAGACAGGGAGCTGCAGGTGGCACTGGGCCCGTGAGTTGGCATTCTGGGTCACAGACTCCTGGGGAGTGTGTGCTTTAAAAAAAAAAAGTCCTCGATCTGGACGCATGCTCAGTGGTCAGAATGCCGGCCAACGCACCGAAGGGTCTCAGGTTCAATTCCAGGTCAGGGGCACCTACCTGGGTTGTGGTTGGCTCCCTGCCCCGGTTTGGGGTGCGGACAGGGTACGTGCTGGAGGCAGCCAGCCGATGTGTCGCTCTCACATCGATGTTTCTCTTTCTCTCTCCCTCCCTCAATCTCTCCCTCCCTCTCTCTGAAAAGCAGTGGAAAGGGTATCATCAGGTGAGGATAGAAATAAAAGGTCCTAGAATGAGGTAGAGCTCCATGAACTCTTCCGGTGTGTTTGCCCGATTTACAGTTAAGTGACAAATGCAAAGTGA